CCAGCAAGGTGTTCATCTAACCTCCTCTTAAAGACCTCCAGGGTAGGAGCCTGCACCACCTCCCTTGGAAGTTGGTGCCAGACCCTAGCCACCCTGACCGTGAAGTAGCGCCTCCTGATGTCTAATCTGAATTTACCCTGTGCCAGCAGCAGAGGAACGGAGCAGCAGTGGGAGCAGCAGCAGCTGATCCCCCTAAGGTGAGTGGGGGGTAATTCAGCTTTTCTGAAGTCGAGGACTTCTATACAATTGACTGACTCGCCAGCTTTATGGCAGATGGTGAAGGTGATCAGTTCATGATCACTGTCACCCAGCTTCCCTTCGATTGTTAGGTTGCCAATTAGGTCATCCCCGGTGGCCAGTACAAGGTCAAGCAGCGCTTTACCTCTTGTTGGCCCATACACTTCCTGCTTCAGATAGAGGTCATCCACACATGAGAGAAAGCTTTGCGACCGCTTGGATTTGGCCGAGCACTCCTCCCACGAGATGTCTGGGTAGTTAAAGTCTCCCATGACAACCATACACCGGGATTGTGCGGCCTCAGCCAATTCCCTGGTGAACTCCTAGTTGAGGTCCTAACTCTGGGTAGGGGGTCTGTAGTAGACCCCCACCATAGTATCCCCTGCACCGTGTTCCCCACAGATTTTAATCCAGAGGGTCTCAAGTCATCCACCGTGGGTGCCAATGTCAGCTTGCAGGGACGTGTAGCTTTCCTTGACATAAAGAGCTATGCCCCCGCCCCTTTTGTCCACTCAGTCCCTCCTGTACAGGGTACAGCCATCTATACCCACGGTCCAGTCATGGGTGGAGTCCCAACAGGTCTCTGTTATCCCAATGACATCACAGTTATTTGCATTTAGGAGGAAAACAAGTTCCTCCTGTTTATTTCCCAGGCTACTAACATTTGTGTATAGACACGCAAGTGTCCCGTTAGGGACTCTTGCCTTGCCTACATTTTGTTCCAGGGCTGGGGCTGGGGTGGGATCTCTTAAGTGCCTTGGCCTGCTGGCTTTGCAAGGGCCAGTCAGTGGGCAAGCAGTGGCAGTGGTCCACCCATCCACCGGCAGGCTTAGTTTAAAGCCTGGTGGAGCAGGTCAGCCAGTCTAGCTGAGAAGAGCCTCCTCCCCAACGGAGAGAGGTGGAGGCCATCCCTTCCCAACAGCTCAATGCCTCTCTCTCCAAAGAGCGGACTGTGGTCATGGAAGCCAAAGTCTTCCCAATGACACCAGCCCTGCAGTCTTTGGTTGACTATGTGGATCCTCCTCAGACCCCAGTAGGGACCAGACCCTACGAGGGGAAGTGGCCATGCTCCCGGGCCCCACTTAGTCCATATGACTACCTGCAGATGGAAAATCAACAGGTTGCCAATGACCAATAGTGGCCAATGACACTATTTTTCAATATGGTGGATGTGGCTGCCATTGCCAGCCTCATCGTTTGGCTAGGCCACAATGCAAACTGGAAGCAAAGACCATATTTAAGAAGACAGTTTTTTTTTTGCAGAGCTTGGAGAACAGTTGATTGACAGACAAACAAAATGAAGAATGATGGACACGTGTAATCTGTCTAAGCTGTCAAGTTTGGTATGATTGCCCTAAATTACAAATTGCTACAACACACCCCAATAGAACCGTCTGCAAGCACGAGCGGACCTTATGGTTTTTGTCCAAGGACAGATGACCACAAAACCTGGAAACAATGCAAAGATTGTAAGCGATTTGCTTGTGTGCACCACAGTACATCACGGCTACTTTGTGAGGCATGCAATATTTAGTTAAAACAGTTAAGAAATGTTTTTGGAAGTAATCGTTAGTTTGAAAACAATGTGAACTGCAGATTTAGGAAATCGTTCATTCATGTTTTGAAACTCCAAAAAAAAAAAAAAAGCTTAAATTTTGTTCATAGTTCTAATTATTTAATATTTTGGGTTCAAATAGTCATAGATACTCTTTCAAACAATCTGTATGTTTAATAAATAGTTTTTGGTGCATTTATACTGTTGTCACTGGTTCCATTTTTCTCATGCAGGTGGGGTAACAAGTTACCTCATGAGACCAACAATGTTGAATTGTGGGATAATGAGTTACCTCATGAAAACAACAGTGGTTATGATTTCATGAGAATGGATGAGGGTTAAGCAGACACTGGCCTACGATGGTTAGTCAAGGATGCTGCTGCTTTGAACAGGGGGCTGAACTAGATGACCACATGAGATCCCTTCCAGTCCCACTGTCCTATGATCTTAAACAATACAATTCATATTTATTTAGTAAGAGATGCTTAGATTGCTAGTGCTTTTATTGAACAAATACTTAAACTGATAAACATTTGATCCATTTTGAAAAATCATCTCATTTTACTGTGGAATATTGGATTCTGAAGCTCAGTGATAGTTTTTATATTTTTTGACTGAGGATGCTGAGAAAATAAAACTTAAGTGTCTACTGTAGATGACAAGGCCAGGAGGAGGCTTTTTTCAAACATGTAGTGGAAGTTTCTCAATCATAGGCCCTGGTTTTCATGGGGGACTTTAGTCTACCTGACGTCTGCTGAGAGGACAATACAGCAGTGCACAGGCAATCCAGAAAGCTTTTGGAGATTCTTTGAGACAACTTCCCAGTGCAGGGGTTTGAGGCCAACTCGGAACATGGTCGTCTTCACCTGGTATTCACAAACCAGGAAGAATTGGTGGGGAACGTAGAAGTGGATAGGAACTTGGGCAGCAGCGACCACAAGGTGGTTGAGTTCAGGATCCTGAGGAAAGGAAGGAAGGAGAGCAGCAGAATAAGGACCATAGACTTCAGAAAAGCAGACTTTGACTCAAGGAACTGATGGGCAGAATCCCCTGGGAGGCCAGTCTGAAGGAGAAAGGAGTCCAGAAGAGCTGGTTGTACTTTAAAGAGATCTTACTGAGGGCAAAGGAACAAATCATCCCAAGGTGCAGGAAGACTAGCAAATATTGCAGAAGACCAGCTTGGCTTAGCAGGGAACTCTTCAGTGAGCTAAAACACAAAAAGGAAGCATACAAGACGTAGAAACATGGGCAAATGACTAGGGAGTATAAGAGTATTGTTCAGGCATGCAGGGATGAGACCAGGAAGGCCAAAGTACAATTGGACTTGCAGCTGGCAAGCGATGTGAAGGGTAACAAAAAGGGTTTCTACAAGTATGTCAGCAACAAGAAGAAAGTGTAGATCCCTTACTGAATGGGGGAGGCAACCTAGTGACAGATGATGTGGAAAAGGCTGAAGTACTCAATGACTTTTTCACCTCTGTCTTCATAGGCAAGGTCGTCTCCCAGACTACTGCACCTGGTAGCACAGTTTGGGAAGGAAGTGAGGAGCCAATAGTGGTGAAAGAACAGGTTAGGGACTATTTAGAAGAGCTAGACATGTACAAGTCTATGGGGCCAGACACAATGCATCTGAGGTTGTTGAGGGAGTTGGCAGATGTGATTGCAGAGCCACTGGCCATCATCTTTGAAAAGTCATGGTAATCAGGAGAGGTTCTAGATGACTTGAAAAGGGCAAATCTAGTGCCTATCTTTAAGAAAGGGAAGAAGGAGGATCCAGGGAACTACAGACCTCACTTTCTGGAAAAATTGTGGAGCAGATCCTCAAGGCATCTATTTTTAAGCATTCAGAGGACAAGGTGATTTGGAACAGTCAGCATGGATTCACTAAGGGCAAGTCATGCCAGATCAGCCTGATTGCCTTCTATGATGAGATGACTGGCTCAGTTGATGAAGGGAGAGCAGTTGACATGATGTGCCTTGACTTTAGCAGGGCTTTTAATACTCTCTCTTTCGACATTCTTGCAAGCAAGCTAAGGAGGTATGGGTTGGATGAAGTAAGACTGTAAGGTGGATAGAAAACTGGCTGGATCACTGGGCTCAAAGGGTAGTGATCAGTGGCTTGATGTCTAACTGGCAGCAGGTATCAAATGAAGTGCCCCAGGAGTTGGTCATGGGACTCTCTTTTTTTTTTCAATATCCATCAACAACTTGGAAGATGGGATGGAGTGTACTGTGATGTCTGTAGCTATTATAGGGCTTGCTAGTACTGCCCTGAGCTCATCTGCCTACAGGTGGCAATAGGGTAGACCTTGACTCTGGATCACCAGGTCTGCCAGGAAGTGGATCTTACGTTTTCTAGGCTGCCAGGACTTTGATGACCTCTATAATATTCCTGGGAGGCAATGCCCATGGTGATCCTGCCTGGTCTTGATCCCTCTGCTTCTGTGGGGCTCCAAACCTCCCCTTTACCCCAGCCTACCCTCTCCAGATGGTGTTTGTGATATTCTTGTGCAGCCAGGTTGCAGTGCTGCCTGTTGTAACCTTATTTGCCCCTACCCCAGGGTGTCCTAGTGCCTCTTTTGGGTACACCCTTCCAGGGGCTGGTCTTGGTGTGTGCTCAAAAAAAATCAAAATAAACTGCAAAAGAAATCACAGAAAAACCCTGGCTGCTTCTCAGCCTTCTTGTCAGGCTCTGGCAATGTTCCTTTTTCTAGTGATCAGGTGTTCAACCTCCCAATCACCATAAGTCAGGCAAACAATCCCTTAGTCCATTCTTTGCTGTGTGCTAGCCTGCCCTGCACCCCATGAACATTCATAGTATCTTTGGGATTTCCCCCCTGTGCAGGAAGGCTTTACCTGTGGCTGTAGATTTTTTTTCCTTCAGGCCCTCCTCCGGATCCTGTGTTGGAAAACTCCACTCTGGAGATTCTCTCAGGCCCTGTGGACTGCCTCGCTCTGGATCCTCAGCTGCAGCTCTGCTCCGGAGATAACCACTAGCAGCGTGTTTGCAGGCCTCCGCCTGCCTCAGGGTCACTCCCACAGCGTTCCTCAGGCACCTTCTGCAGTTTCTGCCTGCTGAGATGCTCAGCCGCTCCTCTCTCCTTGCGGCCTGCAGGGAACTGACCCCTCTCTGCCCCTCTCCAGGGCTGGAAATACCTTTGAGCAGCCTCCCTCTGCCAATCCTGAGTGAGACGCTGCTCCGGAAGTTGGGTGGGTATTTTTCTTCCTTTCCGGGCTGCAGCTGCAACCCTGCCAGCCCTCCGTGTTTTAAGTTCTGTCTCACTCCTTCACACGTACCCTCTCCAAATTTGCAGATGACGCCAAGCTGGAAGAAGCAATAGATACACTGGAGGATAGGGGTAGGATTAAGAGGAGGATTGGACCAAAAAGAAATCTCATGAGATCCAATTTTCAATCCTAATTTTCTATGATTCAATGACTTAGTTTATCTCAATTCTCATAGTTAAAAAACCCCCCAAACCTCAATTTCCTTCACTTAAAATTTTCTGTCTGTCTATAAAATTGTCCCGAACCACCACTATGGGTTTTCTGTATTTCTTTTTCTCATTCCTGGGTCTCACAGCTAGACACTCTTCCAGCAGGGCTGTGGCTATATTTGTTCGTTCTTTGGCAATACTGAGATATTGCTGGCCCAGAATCAACCCCATCTCCCAAAGACCTCAGTTCACCTTTTCTGCTTCCAGAAGATCAGGGCTTTGATCCTCAATTTATTTTGAAGTTGAAATTATGACTTGGGTCTCCTGTTGCAATACAATGTGCTGCCTCATTATACCAGATTAGCTATGAATGCTGCTTTTGTGAGTATTCTGAAGCATGCAGTTGTTCTGTATTGAAAAAGCAAAGACATTACTGTATAACTTTGATCTTGTTACAGTGCTTAAACAAAAGCACTGTTCTTTTTTTGTCAATAAACGTGATATTAGGTAAGGTGTATACTTATATGGTCATTTTTATTCTGCTTTATCATAAACTATATATACCTCATTGCATACTAATTTGAATATATTACCAGATATATGTGTACAACATAGAGCTCATGAAAATCACTCATACTTCTGTCTCATAAGTTGGAAAGTTACATTCCATTTAAGATTCTTCTGTCACTGTCCTCCCTCTTCTTATGTACTTACTTGAGACAACATAGAAAAGAGATGATGCGCCTGAAAGATGATGGAATCATTATGTACATACAAAGAAATATTAATCTCTCCATGTAGCTTCTTTACCTTCCAATTCCATTGAAAAGTTTGATTCATAAATCAGTATGAGCATGAATCTACTAGTCAGAAACTTTTAAATTTGTTTCTATTGTAGGGCTGTAAATGGAGTTTACATTATAGTGCAATTTTATAATACTTGCTCTCCCCATGCAAGCTCTCCTGGATTTGCCTTCAGGCTTATTTTCTCAGGGCTGAAAGCAAGAGAGGAAAATAATGTGTTCAGATTAACCAGCTGCGTCTTAAAAATATAAATTGAGAGGAACTAGTTTTATTTTAAACAACAGAAAAAAATACCGCAGAAGTTTAAGGATGTTGCAAACTCTCTAAATGACTTTTATGTAATGACAGTTCATGTCTATGCAGAATGTGAGTTTTAGGTCAGGGATGGGTATATCTCCAATTTCATCGAATTGCAGCAAATTAAGGTTGGAAGGGAACCCAGGGGTGGGGGGTCATCTAGTCCAACCCACTGCTTAAAGTGAACCAGACCAAAGATTACTTACCGACACTCAGACTTCACCTCCCAACTTTTTTATTACTAGCCTAATACTCAGAAACTTCAGCCATAGGATAGGCCTGCCTACTTACTAGGCCTGTGCAAATAGGGAAGTATTTGATTTGGATTCAGCCAATTCAGAGGACAGTGATTTGATTCAGAGATGCAGATGACTGTCCTGAATTGATTCTGCTGAATCAGCTTCGGAAGATTTGGTGTCGATTTGGAGAGAGTCAGAGATTTGGCCATAGACTGTAATGGAGAATCACTGAAATACATATAACTTTGTCATTTGTCAGCTGATTTGGACAAAAAGTCACAGGGGTGGTAGCCCCTTCTGAGGGCACGAAGTCCATCAAGTTTCAAGGAGATAGGTGCAGGAGTTTCTGGGAAACTGCACCTCAAGCTGCTGGCAAGCAAAACTCATGTCATGTGTGTGTGTTAAGGCGCAGTGGGGTGAAAACAGCAGCCATGGTAACCCCTGCTAAGACCATGAAGCCTGCCAGCCTTCAAGGAGATAGGTATAGGGGTTTCTGGGAAACTGCACCTCAGGCTGCTGACAAGCAAAACTCGTGACATGGGTGACACTGTATGTGTGTTAAGGTGTGCCCTCACTGGCGCTGGGGCCTCTACATGACATGGTAGTGTGCACCAATGAGGCTGCCTCCTCCCCTGCAGCCTCAGCCTGGTCCACCACTTCAAATGACAACAGGTAATAAAATAACTTAGTGAGTACTAGCACAGTAGCACCAGCAGCATCTCAGGCAGCCAAACTGTCACAGAGCCTTTCTTTCCTTTCCTGCAGGAGCTTCTTCTCCAGCAGCTGCCAGAGAACTCTCCCTGCCATCCTGAACCCTGGGGCTTAGATGTGCCCAGGGCCCTGTGTCCTTCCGGTCAGCTGACTGGGGACAGGTATTGGGGTCTTGGTCTAAGGACATAGCACTGGCAGCCAAAGTCCCTTGGGTCAGTCTGGTGTCTTTTAGTAGACCAACTGAATATTTAGAGAAATATATCTTAGCAAGGTTTTGGGTTGGGACTTGCAGCTGTAGCTCTTCCCCTACCCGCCCTAGCCCCTCTCCCTCACCTGCCAGAAGACCTGTCACCTGCCTTTCCAGCACGCTTCATATTAATCTTTCCTGTGCTGGAAAAAGTTATTACAGACAGAGACACAAATAATATGTCTTGTTCTTCTTCTCTGATGTATGACTGTCTGATTTCTTCTTCTGTGTTGTGTTTACTGTTGTGTGTGTGTAAATAAAATCTCTCCTTCTCCTCTCTGACTTCTGTTGTGTTAGTCTGAATCTCTATCTGACTTCTTCTGGGTTGTCTTTAATCTGTATGTACCTAACTATAACTAATAATATTAATAACTATATATAATTTCTTCTTCTATAAATGCTTGACTTCTTCTGTGTTGTAATAATATCTGATTACTTCCATGATGTGAGTGTGTGTAATGTATGTGCTCCCCTGCACAGTGATGGATCACACTGCCAGGGAAAACATAGCTTTCCTTTAAAAAAGTGTTGGAAAAAACCCCCAAACAAATATAAGTTGAAAGAAATGGATTGGATAAGTAGAGGGACTCTAGTTAATAAGCTATATCCAATCCTTTCCAAGAACAGAAAGTAGCAGGAGACTGACTAGGTAGGAAGCCAAGCCAGTCCAGTACCTTTCAGTAGGGCTATCCCTCAGGGGGTGCGAATTGGGCTGACTGCCCTGGGCCCCATGCTTTGGGGGGCCCTCATGGAGCGGGACAGAACAGTGCAGTGATTCTGTGCTGTTGCTGGCTTCACGTCCAGCCACTTAGCACCCTGCCCCCCCTTTGAATCCGCTGCTGACTTCCTTGTGTCTGGGGGCAGGGCCCTACACAGGCTAATTTGCCCCAGCCCCTGCACCCTGCTTGGGTCATCTCTGCCTTTCAGATGCTGTTGCTCAGGCAGAAACAGCTCACAAAAGGGACAGAAAGGCTGCACGCAGAGGCTTGTATGCTGTTTCTACATCCCTTCCCCAGAGCACTGTGATTGGAAGGGGACTTGAGGAAAGATCACAGTCATTGGCCAGCTAGAGGTGTCAGTCTTTTCTCCCCTGCTCCCCCTCCCTCTTCTCAGTTTCTGTTCTCTTGAAAGACTGCCTTCCAAAGACTGCCATCTCTGAATCTTTTCCAAATCTATTCAGAGCCTCCAAACTGATTTGGAGATTTTTTTGCCTTCTCCCGATTCGATTTGGATTCAGTGATTTGGACTTCGAATTGGGCTGGATCTTCTCCAAATTGAATTGTGGACCAAAGCTTTTCACACCCCTACTACTTGCACTGCTCAATCTATTCGTTATGATGCTTCTTCTTTTTATGATTCTAGTCTGATTGCCTCACTTTTAATTTTTTATTTCCTAGCAAATACTATATCCTTGGTCTTCAGAAAACATTCATAAATAAGTGTTCAGGTAAGATATGACTTTTACCAAAAACTAGGAATGTTTCAAGATTAGCAATAATATATCAAGCCTGACTAGATCCAAATAACCAATTATCTGAAGTTTAAGAAGGCTCTGGGAAAATTTTGAACCTGGTGGTCTTATTAGCATTATAGGACACTTTTACATGTGTTTCTGAAGTGGTGCCAGGAGCTTTTAATTAGAGAGAGAAAATGGAGATGGTGCACTTTGAACTAAAGCACGTTGAACATGTGTTAGTTCAGAGCGCACCACTGCCATTTTCTTAGCATGGAGGTGCACTGTGCCACTGATACACATGACACGAGGCTGCCAGAGTGCGTTAATTCATGTTCTCCAGCAGACTCAATTAATCAAGTCTGCTCCAACTCCCTGGATTTCTAGCATGTCAGAGCAGGCTCCCCGCATGTGTGGAAGTGTCCATAGAGTCAAAGAAAATTAGGGTTGGAAGGGACCTCAAAAGGTCATCTAGATCAACCCCCTGCTCAGAGCAGGACCATCCCCAATTAGATCATCCTAGCCAAGGTTTTGTCTACCTGGGTCTTAAAAACTTCTGAGTATGGAGATTCCACAACCTCTCTGGGTAATCTGTTCCAGTGTTTTACTACCCTTCTAATGGGCAGCTATGGAGGGGGGCATCTAGGGGGTAGAGTCTGGGGATAGGCAGCCAGCACCCTGGCCTCTGGCTATTCCCCTGTGGGTGCAGGCAGGGGGCTCACCCAGACATGATGGCAGCTGCTTCTACCCTGGTTTGGGCAGCTTCTCCTCTAGTAAATGGTGGCAAGGGCCAGTGCATGGGGCAGGCAGAGCTATGGTCAGGGCTTGGCAGTGGGGAGCATGAATGTGACAGCCAGGGCCTGGATGGTATTCAGCACCCAGTGGTCCTCCTCTGTGGCCCTGTTGCCCTACTCAGGAGTACACCCTGCTCCCTCAGGGCCTCCATGTGGTCCTGCTCCAGTGTCAGGAGCTGTGTCCTGAATTCTCAGTCTGCCTGGTCCCACATGTCTTGTGGATGATGTCCCCCATTTGCTGTGTATTTTTCATGGGCTATCGTCTGCTTGCCATGCATCCTGGGATGGCAATGTCCTCCGCCTGCCACGTGTTCTGGCCAGAAATGTCCTTTCCCTTCCACATCTCCACATCACCCAGCTGGTCCTGTAGACGTGCATGCTTACTGTGTAGTAAACTATGCTACTGTGCAGTAAAGCATCTCGGGTAGACACACCCTCTGAATCCTAACCTCGCCATCCAGCATATCTACTACTCCCCCCAGCTTGGTGTCATATCTCCCCAACTTGGTGTTATTCAACCCTATGTGTAGTTAAGATTTAATAGCTGTTTACTGATGTGTATGAAATGAGTTGATTTTTCCATTTTCTAGAGGTTGGATGTCCATATCACATAAGTTATGGCTATAGTTGATAACCTTGCTTGCTGTTTCATCATGGAGACAAAATACTGAATCAGAACTGAGGATGTATCATCCTATTGTTCCTAGAGATGGTTCTTCCAGATGGGCTTGGAAAGATGCATGAAAAGGATAGTGGGTTTGGAAGCTTCAGTCTGTACTGTACCTGCTGGGTGGTTAAGTAGTAATCACTTCTGAAGTGCAATACTGAAGCCAACTAGGCACCTGCCCTGAGCATTATGTTTCTTAACCAAAAAAATGTTGGACTCAGGTTCATCATAAAAACAACTATATAGTTGGACCACAATATTCTAAAGATTGGACAGGACTCACCCCGGATGTATACTTACTTTTACTTGGTCATGTGAAGTTTGGAGCAGAAAACTCCACAGTGATGCTGGTTTGACATAAACAGGAAATGTGATGTTCAATTCTGTGTTTTCAGCTACATTAAAAAGAACCTGCATTCACTTATTCTATGTCTGTCTTACTGTTCATGAAGAAACCATTCTTGTAAGGATAATAGCCAGATGATCTCAGGATGCAGGAATACTTCAGATATTTTCTGAGACTTATTGAAATATGCTTTGGTTTGACAAAAGCAGAAAATGTTAATTTTCAGCCGTTTTATAAACACAGGCCTGATCTGTAAAGGGAAAGCTGTTTTCACAACAAATACACACTGGAGTGACTCTAACCCAATTAGTGGTTTATATGATTCACTTTGAATATATTTATGCACTAACAACTGATAAATAGATTTTTGAATTCAGCTTTTAAAAAGTCTACTTTTTTCTTTTTTAATATAAGATCCTTGAATTTTTTTACTGAAGTAACTTGCTTAAAATCTCCCTACTTGCAATTGTAACTAGTACATTCAGTGGATCATAGGCTGAGGTGAGCAGGCTGAGGGGGATCAGGGATGCAGAGGATGAAACTGATGCCTATCTCTGTTCTCTGCAGGCCTGGTCACCCACTGTACAGCCCCCACAGCAGACGCATCCGACGCAGGAGTGGCAAAAGGTGTCCAAATCCAGAGCTCCTAGGCCTAGAGTGATGGAAGCTTCCCAGGTTCACCTGGGGAACAGGTTTGACACCCTGGCAGCTGTGATGGAGAAAGATAGAGAAATTGCCTCCGGTGGGGATGATGCCACTCCCCACGTGACAAGGAACGGGCAGAGAGCAAAAACCAACAGGAAGAAATGCTGGGTCCCCGTCATCAGAGATTCCATCCTACGAGAACTGGAAGGTCCCATCTGCCAGTCTGACCCCATGGTGCGAGAGGTCTGCTTCATGCCTGGGGCTCAGGTTAGGGGTATCATGGAGAGGATCCCGGCCTACATCTGACCTGCAGACCAGTACCCCATGGTTGTCATCCACGTGGGAATGAATGATGCGGCCAGGGGCAACCCTGACTGCATTATGAAGGAATTTGAGACTCTGGGGGACCAGCTTAAGGAGATGGAGGTGCAGGTAGTATTCTCCTCTCTTCTTCCGGTGAGTAGGCGGGGATGGCGACATGAGGCCTGCATTGGCGAGGTCAACCGGTGCTTATGCAGTTGGTGCCACCAGGCAGGCCTTGGGTTCCTAGATAATGACCCATGCTTTCAGCTGGGGGACTTGCTGGGGTGGGATGGGCTTCACGTCTCTCGTAAAGGCAAGCGTATCTTCTCTTCCAGCTCACCCTCAGAATAACCAGTTCAGACCCAGACATAATAGGGCTTACAGAAACATGGTGGGATCCCACAACTGGGCAGTTAACATTAGGGGCTATAGGCTTTACGGGCGGGATAGGGAAGGAAGGAAAGGGGGGGTGTGGCGCTTTATGTCAAGGAGCAATACACATCCTCTGCCAGCAGAATGGGGTCAGAGGAGGGGCAAGCTGAAGTGCTCTGGTTCAAGATGGTAGAGGGTAGATTTAGGCTAGATATCAGGAGGTGCTACTTCATGGTCAGGGTGGCTAGGGTCTGGAACCAACTTCCAAGAGAAGTGGTACTGGCCCCTACCCTGGGGGTTTTTAAGAGGAGGTTAGATGAACACCTTGCTGGGGTTGTTTGACCCCAGTAATCTTTCCTGCCATGGCAGGGGGTCAGACTAGATGATCTACTCAGGTCCCTTCCAACCCTAGAAACTATGAAACTATGAAGATAGAAGGGGGCCGTGGGGAGAGGGATTTAATGGTGGGGGGTCTACTACAGACACCCCCAACCAAGGGGAGGAGCTGGACCGGGAATTTTCAGGCTAGCTTGCAGAGGCACTTAAGGCAAGG